TGCCTCTGCCTCCTGAGGCTGGGATTAAAGGTATGTGCCACCACACTTAGCCCAAGGGTTTTTTTTTTTTTTTACAAGACTTTCAAAAGCATAGGAAACAAAAATAAAAATACAGAGACAGTATTTCATTAAACAATCAAGCTTCTGCACGGTAAAGGAAACAACAGAGTGAAGAAATAAGCCACACAATAGGAGAAAATATTTTCAAGTTATATATCTGATAAGCTGATATGCGAAATATATAAGGAATTTTAAAAAATGACAAAATCATTGGTACTGAAGAGATGGCTCAGTGGTTAAGAGCACTGGCTGTTGCACAAGACCCAGGTTCAAATCCCAAGCACCCACCTGATGGCTAACAACCATCCATAACTCCAGTTCCTTGGGATCTGATGCCTTCTTCTGTCCTCTGTATGGTTATACTTACATGCAGGCATAATACTCATACACATAAAATACAAATAACAAAATATGATTTAAAAGGCTTGGATAAATATTTCTCAAAAGAAGACATACAGAGCCAGGGTGATGGCTCAGTGGGTGAAAGTGCTTGCTGAGAAAGCCTGACAACCAGAGTTTGGATCCCTGGAACCCACATAAAAACCAGACATGGCGGTGCATATCTGTCATCCCAGCAGATGGGAGGCAGAGACAGGGGGATCCCCTGGAAGCTTGCAGGTCAGCTAGCCTGAAATTTACAGCATGGCAGCAAACAAGAGAACCTGCCTCAGACAAGGTGAAAAGCAAGGACCAACACAGCCAAAGTTGTCCTCTGATCTCCACACATGTGCTGTAGCATGCACACACCCTCACACACAGACACACATATAATGTACATCCATGCACACAATATTTCTTAAAAGACATATAAATGACCAACATGTATATTAAAAAATTCTCAACATTGCTAAGAAATCAATAAAAAAAATGAAAACCACAATAAGGTATCTCTTCACCCTAAGAAGACTGGCTTACTATCAAAATGACTAAAGATAACAAATACTGGCCAGGATGTGGAGAAAAGGAAACCCTTACACATTGTTGATGGGAATTCAAATTAGTAAAGTCATGGGAAAATAACAGAGGTGCATAAAAAAATTAATAGTGGAGGGGCTTAGGATATAGCTCAGTTGGTAGAGTGCCTGCTTAGCATGCACAAAGCACTGGGTTTGATCCCTAGTACCACATAAACAGTGTGGTGGTTGATGCCTGTAATCCCAGCACTTGGAATGTGGAGGCAGAAGAATCAGGAATCCAAAGTCATTCTCACTGTTTAGTGAGTTCAAGTCCAACCTGGGCTACATGACACCTATCTCAACAACAACAACAACAACAAATTAATAGCAAACTACCAAATAATCCAGCAGTCCCACTCATCTCTATATAGAATAAATGTATATATACATATATATTATATGTTATATGTATAATCGCCAAAGGAATTGTAGTCAGTGTGTAAAAGAGACATCTGTGCTCCCATGTTACTGTTGCTGAGAAATGGAACAACCTCAGTGTCAGATAAATAAAATTTGGTACGGATATACACAATGGAACACTGTACAGCAACAAAGAGAATGAAATCCCGTTATTTGTGACAAGATGGATGGGACTATAGATCATTGTATTAAGTGAAATAAGCCAGGCACAGAAAGACACATAACTCATGATCTCACGTATAGATTCTCAAAACACTGATCTCATAGAAGTTGGACGTAGAATAACCAGAAAGGCATATTAAATAGAGTGGAGTACTGAAACTATTCAAATGACCCAAAAGAAGGCAAAGAGGGAAAAAAATACAAGGGAACAAGAGAGCAGACAGTGACAAACAGAAAATACACAATAAACCAACTGACCTAAATCCAACCATATCGATGATAAATTAAACGCAAATGGTCTAAAAACACCAATTAAGTGAGCCAAGTTGTGAGGAGAGTCCTGGCTTGGGGATTTACTTGGTGGCCTTGGTAAAGGCACGATGAACCCACAGGATCATCAGCTCAAGCCTTGTGAGCACACTCCAAGGTGGCCTGACCCTCAACCCATGTTGCCCCACCCAGTGAATTCCCCATTTCTTTGTTCTTGCTGTACAAAGCCTGCCCAGTCCCTCGTGGTGCAGTCTCAGCAACGGTTGGCCTCACCTTTAGGGTGATTGGCTATGGTGGCACTCGTGGAGCCTGGTGATCGGTACCTAGTCCCTATAAAGCCTGCTGCACTTCCTAATAAACTTTAGATCTGCGTCACAGAACCTGGTCTCCGGTGTTTGCATGTCATCCAACTGTTGCCGTTGCCTCACCCCCCATCCCTGAGGACCCCCAATATTGCAACAAAGTTGTTACTCTTATTTTAAAGACTTACTATTTTTATGTGTGTACATGTAGGTGTGTGCCTGTGAGTGCAGGTACCCACGGAGGCCAGAGGTATTGGATTCCTCCTGGAGCTGGAGTTACAGGTGGGTGTAAGACACTCAACATGGATGCTGGGAACAAAACTCAGGTCCTTTGCAAGAGCAGTACACACTCTTAACTGCTGAGCCACCTCTCCAGCCTATTATTCTGGCATTAGAAGAATTTCTGTGCTGGCCTCCAGAAACCCAGTTTAACTAAAATGACTTAGATAGGTTAAAAAGTAAAATTATGCAAAGGATATACCATGCAAATAGTCATGAAAAGGAATTTGTAATGGCTATCTTAATATTAAAGTAGACTTAATAAGGGTAGTATTAGAGAAAAGAAGGCTCATTGTAAAAATAGAAATGTTAATTGTTAAAAGTGGTTTTCTCTGGAAAGTAATACTTGAAAGATTCCTATTTCTTCTTTATTCTCATTTATGCTCCTCAAAAATTTTCATGAGTGGAGGCATAGTGACTCATGCCTATAATCCCAGAATTCAGGAACGAAGGCAGGAATGTCATGAGTTTGAGACTACCTGGCTACACACAGTGAACTCCTAGCCAGCCTGGGCTATAGACTAAGAAAGACCCTATTTTGGGTTTCATCCCCAAATTTCTTTCATAATGAACCAATGCAATTTTCATATTCCAAAAAAGTAATGTTTACTTGTTAGCTAATGTGTTTTTTATTTATTATTTTTGTTTGTTTGTTTTATTAAGCCTATGTCTTTCTAAAAAGAATACAAGACATTACAAGACTGAGACTGTGTAACTCAGTGTTGGAACACTTGACAGCATGTGCAAGGCTATGGATTCAATACCTAGTGTGCCCCCCTAAAATTACAGATTTACAAAGTGATCAATTCACTAAGAAGACACAATTAAAAATCCTAAATAAGTATGTTCCTAAGGTTTAAAGTACGTGAAGAAAAAAAACCCTCAAGCTTAGGTAAGTTGAAAGCATACAAAGTATGTTAAGTGACCATAATAAAGTTACATCAGAAGTCATCAATAGATAGCTGTTTTTTACTTTGCATGTAGATATCCAGTTATATGAGCACTAATAAGATCACTGTTCTAAGTATTATTCCATTTTTTTTTCTCTTACACAAGGTCTCCCTGTAACCCCAGATGAGTTGAACTCACTTGTAGACCAGGCTGGCCTCCATCTCACAGAGATATGCCTGCCTCTGCCTCTCAAGTGCTGGAATTAAAGATGAGCACCCCTCCACCTGACCCCTCAGTATCATTCTTTTCAGAGTTCAATTTATAACGGTTTGTTGCTAGTTTACAGATCTGTAATTAATGTTTGTATGGTGAGTTTGAAACCTATGGACTTTACTCAGTGCACTTATTAGTCTGAGTAGCTATTATATGCATTCTTTGGGGTTCCTATTTAGATGCTATGCTGTCATGCTATAAGAGAATCACTTATTTTTAATTTATTCAGATGAGAAGTTAAGAAGATAAAAAAGGTGATTTAAGAAACAGTCAAAGAGGGGGCTGGAGACATAACACAGTGGTTAAGAGCACTGACTGCTCCTGCAGAGGACCCAGGGTCAATTCCCAGCACCCACGTGGCAGCTAACAACCTTCCGCAACTCCAGTTCCAGGGGACCTGACGCTTTCTTCTGACCTCTGTGGGCATTGCATGGCATGGGTGCATTTATATACATGCAGGCATTACATTCATACATAGAAAATAAAATAATAAAATACTTTTTAAAAAACAAAGAAATGATGCAGATGCACATGTAATATAAAGCAACATGTAAAGTTCACCGAATCACAACAGTCAGAAGAAAATGGTTAGTTAGCAGATTAAGAGAGATTGTTTCTAGCCTGGAATGGAGTAGGCAAGTCAGAGGGAATTGAAGTTAAGACAAAAGACATAAACTGAGATTGATGGCATATACCTATAATCCCAGCACACAGGAAGAGGTGGCAGGAGGATTTGATTTCATGACCAGCCTAGGCTGCATTGAGACTTTTTCTCCAAAAGACAAGAGAGTCAGTGAGATGGCTCATTGGGTAAAACACTTGCTGCAGAAGCCTGGCAACCCGAGTTCGTTCCCTGGAACCCACATAAAGGTGGAAGGAGAGGCCTGTCTCCATATAATTGTCTTCTGACCTCACACTCTTGCTGTGTCACACTCCCCCGCATAATAAATAAAAATTTAAAACAAACAGAACAACGCAATCAACAAATTAAAAAAAAACACTAGAAGATTTCAGTCTGGAGTGTTTGATTATATTCTCTCTTGTTTCCTTTCTCTGTCTTTGGGCTTTATTTACCTGTGGAGACCAGGATAACTCAGTGTACTTTTTCTGTACATGCCTGTATTTTTATTTTAACATCTTTCACAGAACTAGGTCCATTTAATTTTTTAGAGAAGTTTTTGTTCCCTTGGCTTTTTGGTTTTTACTTTAGTTTTCTGTTTTTAAAGGATTTGGGGGTTTTAGATCTTGATGTGGATGGTTTTGAGTCTTTTCCATTCTGGTTATTTTGTTTGATTTTGATTATACTGCCAAACATCAGACCCAAGACTTTGTGCATGTTAAGCAAGCATCATACCACTGACCACTTGCTTAATTTTTTGCATTGTAGGCTTGAATATCTTGCGTAGATTTCTTCACTGGAACATTTTCTTCAGCTTCCTCTTCACCAAAATCCTCGTTTTGAGGCTGGGGATGTTGTTTGGATGGCCAAGTGCTTGGTAAGTAGTCACTATCCTCATCACCCCATAAACTGGGTAGGGTAGCACATGTCTATAACCCCAGCACCGTTCAGTGGAGACAAAATTTTCAGAAGGTCAAGGTTGTTCTCATTGACACAGTACGTTTGAGGCCAGGCTGGGCCAGAGACTCTATCTCAGAAGCAAAAGGTAATAGTTAAAAATATTGTAATCTTGGGGCTGGAGAGATGGCTCAGAGGTTTAGAACATTGGTTGTTCTTGCAGAAGACCCGGGGTCGAGTCCCAGCACCCACATGGCAGCTAACAACTGTCTGTAACTCCAGTCCCAGGGGATCCAACAGCTTCTTCTGATCTCCACAGGCATTGCATGGCATGGGTGCACTTACCTACTTGCAGGAAATACATACATACACATAAAAGAAAAAAATAATTTTTTAAAAAAATTGTAATCCTTGGGTTAAAGAGATGAACCAGCAGCTAAGAGCACTGACTGCTCTTGTAGAAGACCCAGGTTCAATTCCCAACACCCACATGGCAGCTAACAACTGCTCGTAACTCCAATTCCAGGGGAATCTAACACCACCTTCTGACTCTGTGGGCATTGCATGACATGAGTGCACTTACACTTATGCAGGCAATACACTCATACACATAAAATAAAAAATTATTGTAACCCTTATTTTCATCTTCATCAATGGTAAATTGTCCTTTTTTATGTGGAAACTTGCTACTTTTACAGGGGCAGTCTCTGTCCAGATATACTTAGGAGTTTTACATCCACCTCTTCATCTTCTAATGCTGCATCTTCCTGCACTGATACTAAGTGCTGCTCACTCCTACACACAGGTCTTGAACCACACTCCAGCCTTCAGAACTACACGTGGTTTAGTTGTAAAGTGCCCAAGAAAAGCCATTCCTGATGCAGCTTCTGCTGCTGGCTTTCATTCATAACATTGCCTCTGCTTCAACAATGCGCAGGGAATGTTCGCCTCAGCCTCTAAACTGACCATTCTTACAGAGAACTGGCACTCATTTTCATCAGTGTCAACCTTAAAGTAATAATAACTTTTGGCCTCTAGTTCACAAACAAAAACACAGTTGAGGTCTTAGGTGGGCTCATGTCCACCTCCTCTGAATCTTCCAGAGCATGGTGGCACGCGCTTAGTAGGGAGAGAAAATGGACAGACATAATAACTGTTGCTTCAGAAAGCAGCCACACATCACAGAATTACACCAGAACTGTTTAGTTTTCATCTTTATTCAGTTTATTCTTTCTTGTCTCATTTCACTGCATTGGCCCTCCAGCTCAGTGAATAGAAGCAATGAGAGCAGGCATTGGGCTATTCCCCCTTTGCTCCTGATCTTAGAGAAAAGTGTCTAGTGTCGCCATTACGTTAGCTACATGTACCCTCTATTGCCTTCTATTATTGGTTTGATAGATTTTTGTTTTGTTTGTTTTTGAGACAAAAATCTCACTATAAAGCTCTGGTTGTCTTGGAACTTGCTGTGTAGACCATGCTGGCCTCAAACTCAAAGCAACCTTCCTGCTTTTGCTTACTAAGTGCTGGGGTTATAGATGCGAGCCACCATACCCAGCATGGTTTAATAAAACTTTAAAATAAAAAAAAAATGTATGTGTATACGTGCGTCTCTTTGTGTATGTCATATGTGCAGGTGCCCATGGAGAAGAGGGCGTTGGATACCCTGGATTTGAAGTTATAGATAGTTGTGAACTGTCCTACATGGGAATGGAACTCATCCTCTGGACAAGTGAAAGGGCTCTTCACCTCTGAGCCATCTCTCTAGCCCCTTGATAAACTGTTTTTGGTTTTGTTTTTTTTGGAGACAAGGTCTCCCTGTAACCCCAGCAGGCCTGGAACTCATCTTGTAGACAAGACTGGCCTTGATCTTACAGTTATCCACTTGCATCTGCCTCGTGAGTATTGGGATTAAATGTGTGTGCCACCATGTCCAACTCTTGATAAACTTTTTAGAAGTTCAAGTATGAGTTTTTTTTTCTGTTTGTATATTGAGATAATATGGCTTTTGTTTTTATGTTGATGTGATAAATCACATTCATCTAAAAAACTTAAACCAACATTCCAGACCTTGAATAAACCTTCAGCTTGTCATGAAGCTTTGATTTTATAAATTGCTGTATTCAATTTGCTAATTTTTAAAGGTTTTGTGTCTATATTCGTAGTTTTTTTCATCTCTCTTCTCTCATCTTCAGTAATGTTAGCCTCAATGAGTTGGGAAGTATTCCTTCTACGATGTCTGTTAGAGTTTATGTAGAATTGTTACATTATCTCTTAATGTTTCTTGTAACTCACTAGTGAAATCTGCATTTTCTTTCTTAGACTTTTTAGATCACAAATTAATTTTCTTTAATAGATACAGATTTTTTTAGGTTATCTATTTATTTTTTAGGAGGACTGTTAGTTTCTTTTTTGTGTTGTTGTTGTTGTTGTTTAAGAAAACTGGTCTGTTTTACATAAATTACTGTCTTTTCAGAAGTAAATTTTCATCCTTTTCCCCTATTGTCCTTGTACCTTCTGTGGTGTCTATAGTGATGGCTCCTCTTTCATTCCTAATATTGATAGTTTGTATTTTCTCATTTTTTTCATCATCAGGTTGGCTAACAGTTTATAAATTTCATTTATCTTTCATTAGATCTGGTTTTTGTTTTGGTGTTTTCCCTACCATTTTCTGTTTTTTGTTTTAATTTTAGAGTTTTATTGTATTGCGCTAATGGAACAGCAGGGTGGTTACACAATTCCCTCATTCAAGTTTTGAAAATCTAATGTACTTGCAAATTCTTAAGAATACCTTTACATTCAGATTAGATGAGTAAGCATAACATAACCATTTTCTTAGTATATATGTCTTACAAATGAAAACACATTTAAAAAAACTTTTTTTTTTCTGTCTTTGTGAGACAGGGTCTCCTTGTAGCCCCAGCTGTCCTGAAACTCATTATGTAGACCAGGCTGGCCTCGAACTCACAAAGCTCTGCCTGCATCTGCCTCCCAAGTGCTGGGATTAAAGGCGTGTGCCACCACACCCGGCTAAAATGACTTTAAATGCATTCTTTACAGGTAATTCAGCATATATTTTTGTATCATGTTAGGTTATGCTTAAGAATTAAAGCAAGTATATTACTCTGATGGAAATATGGGAAGTCTCTCATTCATGCAATATAGGGATAATATTCAAGTCCACAGGGAAATAATCCCACTCTTCTTATTTTGTAAATGTATCCATTATAATCATCTACAGTAATAAATGAGGAAACCTATGAAGTTTCTCACAAGGCTGATAATACATTTTCAACTCACCAGAAGCACCTGATATCTACAGCTAATTTATATTTAGACAACATTTCAACAAAACCAAAACAGGCCTTACAAATTCCTATAAACCAAGCTTCCAGTGGTCTAAGGACAGTCAGTAATTAATGCAACCACCCAGAGGATTATGGCTGTTCCTTAAGGAGTGCATGTTCAACCTGTCAACACCAGAGGTAATCATCTTATATTAATTTACACGTAATTCCATTTAAATTCTTTATCCAAGTATAACATGTGAAAACAGTCTTTCCACAAGCAAAAGAATGTGGAAACATTTAAAAAACAAGGAGTCATTTGTTAAAGTAACTAACTGTTCAGATTCCATAGGCTACTCTTGGAAAAAGGATCTTGCTGGATAGAATCTTTTCATTTGGTGGCTTTTTGCATGCACGTAACTGGACCAAGTCTTCTGTATTGTTCTAAGAACTCACCAAAACATAGATCATGCCATATAGGTAGTAAAAAAAAAAAAAAACCCTAGAAGGTATAAAGCTAATTTGCACCATTCTTCTTTCTGACTGTATGCTAGAGTATCTGTGTTTATGATGGTTGTTGGGTCATAGAATCCAGGGTCGCTCATCACTGGTCTACTCATATACCTTCAAATATGATATGCCAAAAGGGGCATATTGAGACCCAGTGTAATCCACTCTGCTGAACTAAGAAACATGACACTGAAGAAAGCATGGATGAAGAACTTGGGAAGTATAAGAGGATTCAGGCCATTACGCTGGTCTATAGGATTCTTGTAATCAGTCTTCAGTTCATCAAATGCTATAAAATGCCAGATGGCGAAGATAAGTGAGGTGGTGAGCAGCAGCGCCAGCATGTAGCAGAAGCTTGTGAACGTGAACGACATGGCCAGGGAGGAGCTGGTGGGCCCCGCCTGGGCCAGTGGAGACCCCTACTGTTTCCTGTTTCAACTTCTTACCCTTCATATTCCCTCCCTTGCATTGGATTTGCATTTCTTTGCTCCTCTTTGTCTCGAGTCTTAAGTTACTAGTGACTACTAACTGTACATATTTGTTCTTTGTTTATATGGGTATTCATTTCTGTAAGTTTCTTCTAATACTGGCTATAATCTACAAATTTTGATGTTTCACTCATTGTTACAAATATTTTTAAATTTCCTTGAAACAGTTTCTTTTGCCATGTTTTATTTTGAAGCATTTTGTTTGATTTCCAATTATTGGAAAATGTTCTTACTATCTTTCTATTATTTCATTGGTTAATCCTGTCCTATTCAGATAATACACTGTGCATATGTTTCTACTTCCCAGCTGATTTTTATTATGTTAAAATATCTATAGCATAAAAATTAGTGCCTGAACCATTTTTTAGCCTGGCATGGTGGTGCATGCCTTTAATCCCAGGGCTCAGGAGGCAGAGGCTGGCAGATTTCTGTGAGTTCGAGACCAGCCTGGTCTACACAGTGAGTTCAGGCCAGCTGGAGCTACAGGGAGACCCTGTCTCAAAAAGACGGAAAAAAAAAAAAAGTTAGTGCCTGAACCATTTTTAAGTGTATAATTGTACAATTCAGAGCTTTAAACAAAAATACAAGATAACTAACAACACTATGCATTTCCAGAACATTTTTCTACCATCTGAAACAGAAACTTTGCATTCATTAAAGAGTAATTCTAGATGCCCCACGCTTATGACTTCTAACTT